GAGGCTGAGTGTCGGAGCGGATCCAACCTTGTCCAAGGGACCTTTAGTTCTGATTTCCTTGAAACGTCTTTAGTGGCACTTTTCCTGGTGCTTGGGCTGTGATGGAACAGATGCTTTGTAAACTGTTAGCTGAATGCAAAGGAGTCACCGCGGAAGGACTCTTGACACACACACAAACGTGCTGCTAAGCGGGAATGGATCATTATTATTCCCCCCCCCCCCCCCCCAAGACAAAAAGAGCCAGGGACAGCCACAGGCGGGGCCAGGCACATTTCAAGGGAAAACATATTGGTCGCCCAGCTCAAAGAGCTTCCCTTCCCCCTCCTGTATCTTTTGGAAACTAGCCTTAAAAACTGAGCTTGAAACTTCTGTGAGAAAGCATCCTGGCTAGAGAGTTGCTGAAGACAACTCTTCACGGACCAGGCTGTTCCTTGTCACTGGAGCAGACCTGGGTATGAAAAGTTCTTGCAAGTGGGTGAGAGCCACAGTGGTGGGACTAGGGACAGGGCACAGATCCGCCAGCCGAATAGCTAAAGTGCCCTGGGGTGGGTGTGCACAGACAGTGCACACACGGAAAAAGTTGTTCGGCAAAAGAAGCGGCCCCCTCTGTGCCAGCCCGCGAGGTGTACAGAAGGAGTTGCTGTTCTTTCCCATGCCTATATTGCGTTCCCTATTGCAGCATTGTGATGGTACTCGCCACTGAAAGCTCCCTTTTGCCTGGGAAAAGGTTGAATGTCTTGCTCTTTCTTTGTTTAAATCACGTTTAGGAGGGGGGGTGTGGTGGTGGTGGTGTGTGTGTGTCTGTGTGTGGGGCGATTAAAGTCTCCGGGTTGTTATTGATCTCGGGTGCTGAATTCCTAGTAGCACTTTCTTCTGCTTCCATCTGGTCTAAAGGTGGTGCTTAAGGCACGTTGCTCTTAGCAACCATCTTCAGGAACGCTTGTTTCTTTGGACACGGCTAAACGGGTCCATATATCATTGCGGAGTTTATTTTGCATTGAAGCCGCTCCGTAGGCGTTGCTGTGAGATGAGTGCAGCGCTGAAGGTAATCTGGCGCGGTCCAGCTGTGCCTGTGCGACAGGTTCCTAGTTGTTGCTGTGCGGGGGGATCTTTCCAGCTCGCATGGCTTTCAGGGGCAGCTATGGAAACACGCTCTCCCACCCCCACCTCCGGTAGGAGATAAGCTGTCCGCCTTGCTCTTCGCCTCCTCGCTGCAATGCTCACTAGGATGTCACCGATCAGGCCACTATTTGAAGACGAAGAAAACAATAATCTGGAGCTCGCAGCAGAAGGAGGAAGCCTCTCCCCCGAAGGGCTGTCACTCGGCCATGCAGAATGGATTTTTCTCGCCTAACTTCCTTCCCTAAACTCTCTCCTGGACATCGAGTCGGCTTAGGGCTTTCACTTTGCTTGCCATTCACGGCCGTGTGTAGTAGCAAACCAGAAACTCGCTTCATGCTTTTTCGTTGCTTAAAAAAAATACCCCTCCATCTCCACCTCTGCCCTTGCGACACCAAAGTTGCTTCTTTTACGTGGACTTCCAGCAGTAAGGGGGAAGAGGGCTCCCTGTCTTGCCCTCCCGGCCTGTTGCACGTGCCTGCCATTGCTACAGACCTTGGTTTTCACCCTAGTTCAGGGATAGACCTTTGTGGAGAAGTTCAGCTCCTTTCCAAGACGATTAGATCGCCTGGGAGGGAACGGGTGTGGGGAGGAAAGGGATGACAATTCTGTGAAAGGAGCTGGCTAAATTATTTTAAGGGGCAATAGCAGATCCCAGCAGGCTGCCTGCTACTCCGAGCTGTCCCTGCTCCCTTGCGGGAGACAAGGCAGTGTCTGAGGAGATCCCCTTCGGAAGGCAGCCCCCTCTCTTCCTTCTCAGCCGGCAGCGCTATGGCAACAGGGGAGAGCTTGTAGCTGCCAGAGCTCCAGCCCCCTCCTCCCCCCCTGTGCAAATGAACCACACTGGGCTCGCATTGTCCTTCCCACAGCTCCTGTCACTGTTGGGACTAGTCACTAGTCCTGTCAGCCTCCCTCCCTCTGTTTCAAGCTACCTTTTAACAAGGGCACTGGAAAGCCGAACGCCTGTGTGACTTGTCACAGACCGAGACTTATTTTTTTCTACCAGCGCCGGGGATCAAAAAGAATAATTAACTCTCTGGCGGCATTACATCAACCTGCCGTCACCTCGCTCGTCCAGCTGCACAGCACCGTGTCTGTCTGCATTCCTAGCAGCTACTTTGGCCCCCGCCTAGCAAGGCCAGGTGGAAAGGATCGTGCTTTCTGGGCGCCAAAGAGCCAGCCTGGTTCTTCTTATTTCAGAGCAACTGCCTAGGGATAAGCCCCAGGCTTGCACCTGCGATGTTCAGGATTTGCTGCAGAGAGTGAAGGAAGGCGCAGCGACACTGGAATCGTAGCCCTTGCTGCTGGGGCTGGTGAAACCTGGGGCTAGACTTAGAGATCGAGGCCAGAATAGCCTTTCTTAATGTAACCCCATGGTGTCGAGTCAGACAGAAGCTCAGGCCTTCTCTTCCCTTGCTACACGCAAGCAGAAATACGAGATCATAGGTAGGACCCTTCCGTTGTCATGGTCTGTTAAATTCACGGCAGAAGCCGGCCCTGATCACTTCCAAGAGGGCCAGCCAGGCGAAACACGCGCTGGCGTGTATGTACAGAGGGTTGCGCTGCTGCTCAAGCCCTAAGGTCCCAACCCCCATCCCCAGGGGCCTCGCAAGGCAGTTAAGCACTTGCCCATCTGTGCGTAGCCGCATGGCTGGGGTCGGGGCGCAGGGCGGTGCTGCGCCCCAGCCCGCAGCCTTTCAGGACCACGATCAGCGCCAGCTGGGGCCGTCTTCAGACGGGGCGTCCTCATGGTTGGAAGCGAGGAGAGACGGGGAATAAACGAGTCCCCTCCCCCGCTGTTTCCCTGCTTCTGCCGGTCCCCTGGTCAAAGCTTCAGCAGCTGGCGCTCAGCTGCTCAAACAGGGACTAGGAGACCAGGCCGGCAGGCTACGGTGGTATCCAGCTCTTGCTGCCCGCCACAGCCAGCTCGGTTTCATCAGACTTTGCCCGGGTGTACCCGAGCCAAGCCAATGCCTCTCTCTGTCCAGGAGGTACGGACAGAAATGTCAACCCCTCCACTTCGATACCGACCGTTGCAAGCCTCTTATTTTAGACCAGGGGTGGCCAACCTGCGGGTCTGGAGCCACATGCAGCCCCAGCTTCTTGCTGGTATGTAGAGGGGGCCTGAAGGGAGTGTATCCAACGAGTTTTAAACGGCTCCAAACAGGCAATCGCCTAAAACGGGAGTGGCCAACCTGCGGCTCCAGAGCCATATGCGGCTCCTCAGAAGTGAATATGTATCTCCTTGAATCTTTGCACAAGGACACGGTGGCCAGCTTCCAAATGTCTCCTTGAATCTTTGCACAAGGACACGGTGACCAGCTGTGGAAATGTGGAAGCTGGTCACCGTGTCCTTGTGCAAAGATTCAAGGAGACGCATATTCACTTCTGAGGAGCCGCATATGGCTCTGGAGCCACAGGTTGGCCACCCCCGTTTTAGGCGATTGCCTGTTTGGAGCCGTTTAAAACTCGTTGGATACACTCCCTTCAGGCCCCCTCTGCATACCAGCAAGCAGCTGGGGCCAGATCCAATCGCTGGTGCCCTGGCACGGCCTTGATGCCACTGAGACAAATGCTTGGAGCCACATCAGCTGGGTTGGGTTGTCAAGACCAATGTTTGTCAACGTACATCTTCCCCTAACCACTGATTCTCTGCGGGAGCATATTCAAGCTCTGAAGAAGAACTAGTCCCCCGACCTGGCACCGGTGGATTCTCTGTCCTATGCCTGGTGTAACTGCTTCGTCCTCGTTTTTTATCATGTATAAGCAAACCCTGGGGGAAATGAAACCACAACACTTCATATGCCAAAAGGAGTGCAGTGGGCATACACATCTCGACTCCACGTGGCAGTGGTTATGATCTTTCCTTGCTTAGGTAGTGCTGATGTTTCCAATCATAGGAGCTGATTCCGAGCTCATGGGATGAGTACCCTTAAGAGTTTTTCCTCTTCTTAGGGGAACTGAAAAAATATTTTCCTTTTAGATAGCTGAAGAGGAGTGCCCATCTCTGATCCTAAGAACTGGTGTCTTGAGAGCAAGGATTTCAGGTTAAACCTGAGGCAACTTCAGGAAAAATACCGATCGATCCTCATGATCAGCCCCTGCAGGTTTCTGAAAGGAGCTCTGACTCTTATTGCCCTTCATCAAACTTAGCCAAGTGTTTTCAGGAAACAGGACCGAACACCTAGTTTTGTCTTGTTTTCTAAGCACCAGGAACACCGGCTACATTGCCTGGCTTTTTTCTGAGGCCCCGAGAAGCGGGAATTACTGCTCAGCAGGGGCTTCTTCAGTGAAGACTTGGCATCTA